ACTACTACTACTACTACTACTACTACTACTACTACTACTACTGCTACTACTGCTACTACTGCCACTGCTACTGCTGCTGCTACTGCTACTGCTACTACTACCACTACTACGACGACTACTACTGGTACGACAACTGCTGCTGTTGGTCATGTAGTCAAATGCTACTACTATTGCTTTTGGCGGTTGCGGACACCGGTGGTTTCATATACACCAGCATTCCTCCTTACACCAGGTGCACGTACTAGAGAAAATCAAAGCAGAAGCAGAAGCTCTAAGCTCTGGAAACTCCCCAAAGTCGATCCACGATTTCTGTGCCTTTCTGCCGCTCGCACCAGGATTGGAGCAAGACTCGGTCTGCTTGGTCTTTGAGCCGCAGATTTCCCTCCTAGGCCTCACGAGCCGGTTGTTGAATGCTCCTTACGTTTATCACTGCCTACTGCCTCAGCCATGACGAATCTAGACCCCTCGCCCAGCAAGCATGTGGCGAAGGGAATCTACGGGTATAGGGTTGGGACGGCCGCTACCACTCAGTTCAGCATGCAGCGTCCCGCCCGCGAGGTCATGCAAAAGGCCTGCATCACAAGAGATCTCCGGTTCTTGTGACTTCTGCAATCCTTCTTGTGATCCGAAGCATCATTGGTGTGGGTGCGGCTGGCATCATGCTGATAGATAGGTCTAAGTCGCAAGATTGAGTCCACAGCAACACGCAAACAGCTGCCCATCACTTCGACCTCTCCGTTGGTCTGCACTCGCACACCTGGCCTGCACCATGAGCACTGTCAGGAAATCTGAGGTCCACCCCTCAGAGAGATCATTAGCTTCGCCAGCTCCTGCACATCATGGCACAATTCAAGCATGCCAGGATTCGGGCGTCAAAATCGCCGAGCGTGCGTGGCATGATGCCGTCGCTTTAAGGACAAGTTCAGGCAGCTGTGCCGAGTTCCGGTTTCCGTATTAGGGTTCGCAGTGGCAAGAGACTGCACAGAATAAGAATGGCCCTCCAGGCCGTCTCTTCTGCTCCTTGGCCAGTGGGCTGTTCACCTGGCGGTGCTTCTCCTGGGCCGCCTGGACCTGCAGATTTCCACGGCATCCCATCGCAGTTCCCCTTTTTCGATAAGCCGAGGCAGAGGCCTCGGTCTTGAGCTGTTTCAGCTGCTTCACCTAAGAAAAGCCAGAGGCCGAAGAAGGCAATGCCATGGGTGATACATTTTATAAAAGCCACCTGTCACCGGAACCTGCTGTAGTTTGCAACTGGAAGGCGGTGGCGGCAGGCGGACTGCGCGCGAGGGCATCCTTCACATCCTGCAAATCTGCTATCTGTTGCTGTCGGGCTGAAGTGCTGATTTCATGGCTCAGCAAGGGAATCCCTGGACTTTGTGAATCCTGCGCTGCCGATCTCGATAATCCGCGTGCTAGCCTGCCATGGCCAGGGGCACAAACTCAGAGCGTTCTTGTTTGATCATGCTGAACCCCGCACTGTTGGCGCCTGGAGCGTGCTCGCAGATACTCAGCCGTGTACAAGCCTGCAGGCAAGGGGCCATCTTGAATATAGTGGCAGCCATCTTCGTTCATATTGCTGTCGACTTCCAACTATATGGACAAACACATAGGTGTACAGTTACACTCATGTTGGGGATAGTAAGACTTGTCCAGAGGTCTCCTTGATATCAGATAATATTACTATAAGTAATCTGGTGCATCTCAGAAACCTTACTCTTTCTTCTCCGTCCCCTACAGCAGGGGTGTTTGCTTCAGGGTTCCTGAGACCAGCATGAGCCCCAAGCGGCTCTCTAGTGCGGTTGTGACCTCAAGTCCGACTCCGACCGAAACCGCCGAAACCAAACTCTGAAACCCTTGGCGGTTGATAGACAATGCAATGACAATTCACGCAGACATATGCATGTTCGTACGTTCGTAAATGCATGCATGGCATTGATGTATGTGTGACTACAATATATCGGGAATGGCAGCTGAATCTGGTGCGCCATCACAACCACAGATCCAAAGCTGAATAAGCTACCGGCTTTCACCATGAGGCCTTTCAGCTCTGCCTCCTTCATCTCTGGGTCTGCTTGTAACATGCGCTTGTCCTGGCAAGATGCTGAACACCCTACACCGATGTGAAACAAGAGCATGTGAAGCGTCGGCGTATGTTGTTTTATCAGAGTACACCCTGGTACATGATCTTTGTATCTGTCCTTTCCTTTTGTATCATGTTCGTGCGTAGTGCATGGCGACAAGCACGGACACTTCCGGGGCTCGAGCGACAGCTTGCCAGAGTCCAAGGACGGCGGACAGGTCCTGCGACAAATCTGGGAAAGGTTGCAAATCTTGGGAATTTATCGTCGCATTACCAAAGGCCACGCAATAACGTAGCAATACTAATAACAGGCCCGTTTACTTGACTCAGACCTTTGATACTTTGAGAGTTCATTTGGCTTTGTAATGATCGTGGAATACCTTCTCGGACGATAGACCGTTGCATCGCAAAGACTTCCCGCAACGCAAGACAGAAGCACGACCGAATGGCGAGAGCAGAATCCAAGTCAGAGAATGGTGACGTGCAAGCCACTGTAGAGCGGAATGTGTCAGGACTTACATATTGCTGCAAAGTAGTGTCGCAGACCCCCTGCCCGATGTCGGTTCGCCGCGAGGCCCCGTCCTGCGAGGCGTCCGCGTGACGGCCTCGGATGAGTCTGGAGATTCTGATGGATTCTGAAGATAGCACGGCTATACTTTTGCAATCCGGGGATGCTCAAGCTCTTCTCTCCCAGTTAAGTCAAGGCACCGAGGTTCTGTCTGCACCGGGCCCTGTTCCTCGCGAGGTGCCGGGTTGCAGGAACCGTCTGGCGACACTGTCCGGAGAAAAAGCTCCGAATCCTCACAAACAATAAACACTCCACAGAGCCCTGTACTGCTGCTGACCCCAGAGCTGCAGCCAAGGGGGCATGTAGAGCGAGGTGTGCAGAGGGAGCAGCTCTTGGCAAACAGGGAGAAGCTCACTGGCCTCAAGGCTTAAGGCTGCAGCAGGGCCTCATCTAATGATCGGAACACAGGTGACACCACGTGCCGTTGAAGCATGCCACGGAAATAAGCTTCTATCAAGGTGCCTGCATGCGAGGAGGCATGCATGAACGAATTCTCACTCTCTGACAGTATTCCATTACTTAAAGCGATGATCCCGTTCTTCCGTCAAGACGATGCTTGCATGGATTGCGGCTCCCCAACTGTGAAGTTCAGGCAGAGAGCCGGCAGCTCTGCCCCATTGGACAGCTCACACAGGCCCTCGGAGTCCACGGACAGAACCTCAGCTGCAGGAGCCACGGAGACTGCTCAAGGCGCAAGAGGATAGAATACTCGCGGCGACTTTGAACACACTTCGGGCAGCTCATCTCGGGTTCCTATGAGATCGAGTCAACGTGAGACGAGCTGCAACGAAGAACTTGCGGATCGCATAGCAGTTTCAACACACGGCGTGAGAGAATGGAACATACCGGCACATGCGCAGGCAGAACCCTTCAGGATGGGAAACAGTAAATGGCAGTTCAAGCTGAGCAGCCGTGGCCAAGGCGAGCGCAGACTTTCCCTCCTGCGCGGGCAGGCGCCGAGTGAGCCACACTGAATGCCCAATGCCATCTTCTCAGTCGCAGCAGCTGGCTCTGCTTTGCAGATTGCCATGCTTGTACTCCATAACCCACAGGGCGGTGCAGACGAAGTGTTGCAAGCAGATACTACGATGACACCAGAATCGCCTGCCGCTTAACAGCCCGACAACTCCATCGCAAGCTTAGCAGTCCTTCTCGGGATCTTGTCGCCTCATGTCTTCCGTGCAGGGGTGCATCAGCTCAGTCTGAAGAAGCCCGGGATGAGAGCAGAGGAGCACATGTACTCAATTGTGGATCGAGCCCCTACGACTTGGAATGCCGAGACCGTGCTAAGCATTCCCATCAACAACCCACTGCAGCTACTGTAGCAGCAGGGTGACAAGTACCCGCCTAAGCATCGGGTAATACCTTCTGAGCTTGACCGTCGATCTCTTTGCATCATTCGCCCACGGGCCGAATCGGAAGCCAAGAATCAAAAACCTTTCAAGCTCCCATTAGTCTCCCCAAACAACCAGATCCATAGATTTCAAGCACGGCTATCCCCCCCTAAACCCTAAACCCTAAACCCTAAACCCTAAACCCTAAACCCTAAACCCTGCCAAGGCGCCTCAGCAGCACCTGCTCACCGCGGCCCACCGGCCGCGCTGCGAAGCGCGCCAGGGCGGTGCCGTAGAACTCCGAGGCGGCCTCGGAAGACGATCCTTTATATTCTACTATAGTATATGATATTATAGTATATTATAGAGTAGTATACTATAGTATATTATAGTATATGATATGATGTGATATGATATTATATAATAGTATAGTCGGTATAGTATATGATATGATATAATATTATATAATAGTATAGTCAGTATAGTATATTATATTACTGTATATTATGCTCTATTTGGGAGGCTGAAATGGGCGGTCCCTTTGGAGTATCAGTAAACAGCTTCATGCTACCGCGGTGCCTCTCTCGGAGAGCACACAGCTGTGGCACAAGGGGCCTACCCTTTCAAAAGAAAGGGCTGCCTTGAAGCCCAAATACCCGAAACCCCTCCTGCTTGGAGCCTCGTAGTCCTTGAGCTTGAAGAGCCTAAGCTGTTCTCTTGCTGCGCCAGTTTGGGGAGGGAGAGACAGGCCATCCATCCAGGAGGAGATCTTATCTTTCGAGGACGGTTTTGGAATTTTGTAGGTTGTGGCAGAGGCTTATGAACCGACTCGCTCCATGCCCGCTGAGTAACTGGTTGCCCCGCTCCTTGTCTGCTGTGGCAGATTTGAAGAGGCTGTCCTGGCACCAGACACTGACAAGTGTAGCAATGTCATTACATAGGTGATCTGCTTCCTCCATTAAAGGTGAGGGAGGGGTCAAGATTCCGCTTGCAATATGCAATATTGACGTTCACGAACACACGCTCTGTGCAGACGACTTTCAACCGGCTGGGGTTTATCCAAAAAGTGCGTGCATAGTAGACAGTAGATACTTCTGTGAGGTCTGGCCCATAGTTTACAACTTCAGTTGGCACGCTCGCCTCGGAGGGCACGGCGGTCTGCTCAAAATCCTGGCAATCGAAGCGGGCACACGGTGGCTTGTCGGCATTGGAGAGTCGCGAGGCCGTTTCTGCTCTTGCTTCAGGCAGTCTGGTGATGGCCTTTGCAAGGTCGGCTTGGGTGGGTGGAAAGTCACATGGTCTGTAGCCACAACCGCAGAGATGCTACCGCTACCCGGTCAAACAGAGCTGTGATGAGACATGACCCAACTGCCGCCAGAGATCTTGTTGACTGTAGTAGCCACTGTAGCAACAAAGAAGAAATTATGAAGCGTCGTCTTGAGACTGCAGACAACAGACTCTTCACCGTCGAGTGCATGTAGCTATCAGACTTCAGGCGTCAGGACCAGTATAAGGATGCGACGAGGTGGGCTTGCACGGTAAGCTTTGCTGGCAACAAGGGGTTTGTCTCCGGCTTTCATTGTTGATTTGCGAACTGGAAGAAAAGCAAGCACGAGCAAACCCCAAGACACGTCCACACACACACAGGCAGACTGGCAGAAACATTCTGAAAACGCTTGATCTACACCACGAACCTCGTGAACCCAAACTCTGCCACCTGGAGGGCTTGAACGTACTTTGCGGGCACGCCCTCCTCTTCATCCTCCTGATGCCGTCCGATCGAGGGCGAGCTGCGGGCTGCAGGTTTCAAGGTAGCACCTTGCGTTTTGTTTTTGCTGTCGGGGATCCTTGTTGTGAGAATGCCGGCTGCCCAGGCTTAAGTCTAAATGAGGCTGCTGCTTATCGGTCTCGGACAAAGACGGCCTATGTGGTTCTGCAAGATGGCGATGCAAGACGTGCAAGGAGGCTTTCTTCCAAAAAGGGAAGGCTCACATCACGCAAACACATCGCTGCAGCTGCTATCAGTACTGCTGCTTAGTGCCGTCATCAGTCTCAGTCTCATTTCTGCGAGTTCTGCTGCTTTGGCCATGAAATTTAGGTGGTGGTGCCCAGCAGTACGCCCACTAGTGACAGTGGTTCGAGCAGGACCGGTGAAACTGCAGCACTGGTGGTGGTGGTGGTGGTGGTGGTGGTGGTGGTGGTGGTGGTGGTGGTGGTGGTGGTGGCAGCAGCTGTTGATGTGGCAGTAGCAGTAAGGCAGTAGCAGTAGCAGCAGGAGTTGTAGCAGTAGTAGTAGTAGTAGTAGTAGTAGTTGTTGTTGTTGTTGTCGTAGTCGTACGTCGTACATCGTACGTCGTACGTCGTACGTCGTGGTCGACGTCGACGTCGACGTCGACGTCGACGTCGTCGTCGTCGTCGTCGTCGTCGTCGTCGTCGTGCCGTCGTTGTCTTTGTTGTTTCTGCTGCTGACCTGCATGAACCTGCTGTCAAAAAAAGAATCATTGCTGCAGTCCTGCTTGCCAGATGCGGCAGGCTGTGGGTACAGAACATCCACGGTCTTCGCATCCTGCTGCGCAAACGGTTTATGTATCTGCCATTCCGCGCACCCCCGTCTTAGCAAAGCTCTTCTCGATGCAGGAAGCATGATCTACTGTGTGACTCGACACGTTTCTCCCGTCAAGCCTCATCCACGAAGGAGATCATGGCCCTCCTGGCACGCTCACCGCGCACCACCCGGACTCGCCGTCCGCATGAGAGGAGGTGGGCGCTGCCGTCTGCCTGTGCGAAGCTTGGGCAAGCCTTCACATGCTTCCCGGCTTCAAAGCGAAAACAAGGCAGAGAAGGATCCACAGAGGTAGAAATACTTTCGGCGAACAAAGGAATATGGTTCTTTGCGACAGTGCACCTTCCCCTCGCTGGTCTCCAGCCGCTCGCGGGCAGCCTGGCTTGCCGAGGCACAAAGAGTCTGCTAAGACCCCCCATTCTCGCAGCTGTTCCTGATCTCCTCGTTTTTGCTGGTGCCAGTGATTCTAGCTGATACCCCGTAGCACTGATGCTTCTAGAACTGTTAGAACTTCGTTAGAACTTTCGTGGCAATCGAATCGTCGCTTTCAGAAGCAAAAGAGCAGTCGTAGCGGTAGCGGAAGTTGCTGTGTTCTACATTTGCTGCCACCTTGGCTGCTGCTACTACTGTCACTACGACAGGGCCTACTGCTGCTGCTACTACGACGACTACTCCAAAGGCCTACAAAACGACTTGAAGTCACGAAGACTCACCCAGATTCCTTGGCACCCGCCTCTCGGGCCACAGCCGCTGCTCCCAGCGCGGGCAGCTCTCCTGAAGCATCAGCCTGAGGCCACATGAATGCGCCGATGAGGCACAAATCGCTGTGACCCCAAGAAGCTTCTGAAGAGACTTCACTGTGGGATTTTGGAAAGCTCTTGCACTGCAGGTCGAGAGGACTGCAAGCCATGGTCGAGAGGAGCCATGTCAGGAGCAACACTACTGTCGACCCCAACTGCACAGAAGCCGATGGCCTCGCCAGCGTTCAGGGCCTGGATTAGGTCCTGGCCAAAAGCACAGGACCTCTGACTCGCATCCGTCTTGGCACAGGCTGGCAAATCCCCCGTCCTGGCACTTTTCGCAGGTGTCGGCCCGTGCGGGATCATCTGCATCTGTTCCCTCCAAAGCAGCCATGTCCTGCAAGAGCCTGGCACCCAGGACACTCACACAGCTTCAGAGCCACGAAGCCTTTCCCGCGAGCACCGCCTGCCGGAAATATTAACAGCAACTAATTACTTACAAAAGCGGCCTGTGCACGCCCAAAATTCGAAAGCTAGGAGGCTATGAAAGCCTGAAATCGTGACTGTCGGATCCATGAGGCCTGCAAACCCCCAATGAGCTCATGCAACCTCATTCCTGAACGCCAACGTCCGAGTCCCGCCTGCAAAGGCTCAGAGCCAGGTGCTCTTCAGATGGCTGTTGGGCGCCCTGGTGTCATGTGGCTTTAAAAGACTCTCCTTAACATCGATAGCGTCGGCGCACTCTGTGCTTTTGCAGGCCTGGCTAAGAACAGTGTGCTTCCCGAGCTCCTGCACTGCGCCGTTACCAGCGGCACATGTATGAGCACATATGGGTTGGGCTGCAGGGCCGAATTATGCTCTTCCGAGATGTTTGCCTACTATGCGGCAGCGACAAGCTGTCTTCCCTGGCACAAGCCAGCACGCAGCTTGGGCAATTCAGGCGAAGTCAACGGGCTGCTGTCTGTGCCAGAACAGGGAGATGTCGGCACAATCTCCTTCACGAAGCTGTGCTTGAAGTTCAGCTCCAGCACTGTCCCCTGCAGGCGACTGTCTTCTATACGCTCCAGACTCTAGCCCCCTCTCTTGAGATACCTAAGCAGCTCAGCAGCTTGAAAGGCTTTTGAATCCTGCTCCCAGCCTTTATAGACGCTGGCGGCAGGGAAAGCGCAAACACGATGCAAGCGAACACAAGCAAAGCGCTCTGTGCAGTCACAAAAAGAGGCAGACGGAACCGTCGCCTGCTCCGAGCTGGCCAGCTGCGCGCAGCACTCGGGGTTGAGGGACGCCAGCGTGACGGAACTGGGACCCCTGCAGCAAGGTCTCTTGTAGAAACGGCGCAGGCATCACTGGCGGCGCATGTTGCTTGACATTTGGACGTGCGCCATGCTGTGGCGCGGTGCGCGGTGCGCACACACGCGTAGGGCTGTGGATCAGGCGGAAGCACAACCTTGTTCGTACCACTGTGTTTTCAATTCTTTGAAGGCTGAAAAGCGGGTTCCCCAAGCTGCACGCCGCTTGGAGGGCCCTCACTTGCGCCCGGGTGCCCCGGCCCCTCCGTGAGGAGCTCCTGAAGCCGCTTCCGAAGCGGCTCCAGCTCAGCCTCAAAACGAAAGGTGTCGTCGCAAAACAAGCAGAAGCGGAGGAAGAAGCAGGGCTTCGGCTTCGGTTCAGGTGCTCTGACATGCGCGTTCGTGGACTCGGCTCAGAGACTCCGGCTTGGATGCTTCCGCAGTTGCACTGTGGCTTGTGACGAAGCTTCAAGCACATCAGGGCCGGTGAGAGAATTGCAGAGCCTGCGTTTGTATCTATGAATCTTTGAGGCAAGAAAGGATCGACTGCGGCGGACACACGCACGGGACCCCCTGAGTGCCTCAGTATCTTTGCCAAGCAACTACACCTGCACCGCGTGAAGTCTGAGCAGAAATGGACAACCAAGTCAAATCCTCATCATCTCTAAACCCTAAGCCCTAAACCCTTAAACCCTTAAACCCTAAACCCTAAACCCTTAAACCCTTAAACCCTAAACCCTAAATCGACAAGTGATTCAGAACCTTTCCTCAGAGTCTGAGCCCGTGGACCTTGAGGTCTGCTTCCGACCGATGGTCAAGGAGCCGCGCTGCGTCCATGCTCATGCCTTGAATGCGGAAAAGGTTTTGAAGCCGGGGCCTGCTTGGGATTCATAAGGTTTTGGATACTTTAGGTTTCTCGTAACTTGGAAGAAGGTTCCGTTGTATTGGTGGAGCACGCACGAGAACGAGCTAGTTCTTGCCAAGCCTGTTGCAGGAAGCTCTCTGGTTGAACTTCTATGGCTACATGGCGTCGTCTTGCAGAATCCAGGGTGCAGCTGAGCACCTCGTAGCCACGGTATTCCTGCAAGCGCGAGCTGAGCCGAGAAAAACAGCCACCCCCCCCCCTGCTCCATCCAGAAACAAAGCGACGCTCTGAACCCGGAGCTGGACCCTGGAACAACGGCGCTCTGATGCTGATACGAACAGAGCGTCAGAAGCGGCTCTCAAGCGCTGTGTCCTTGAGGAATTGGACAGCATACTCGTCGACGGGGTCCGTCATGTAAATCACTTCGTAGCCATCGCGCTTCAGGCCCTGCCACGCTGCCATGCTCGGCGCTTCTCTCGACATCCGAAGCAGCTCCTGACCTCGATGTAGGGCGACCGCGCGGCATCCCGCTTTGTTCTGCCAGTGATGTAAAGGATGTGTCGCTGGCCTGGAGCTGAGGCAGACCCGCTACAGATTCGGCGAGCAGCGTAGAGTGGACAGTAGAGCCGTCCTGGCTTCATCCGGGCGATGTATTCATCAAAGCCCACCATCTCCTGCCAGATGAAACGGACCGAGACATGTCCCAGCGCCAAGGCTCCTAAAACCAGCATGGATTCAGTCCTCTCCAGACTTTGAAGAGTGATATCTCAGCAGGGGCACAATCTGCTCCCTGTTGGTATGGTCCTGCAGATCAGGTTTGGGATTCCCACCCGTCCCGAACTGAAACTGCGTGCAATGCGTCCTCATAGACCCCGAGCTTGAGGCACTGTGAGAAAGCTTCGTGGAACGCCTTGAAGCGAGCTTTGTCCTCGGCAGCACAGGGGTGTGTGCACCAAGTCAAAAGGCTGTCTGGTGCTTAGTAGGGAATGGGGGAATGGATCCCTATGATAGTCCCTAAAGGTCCCTTATCGTAGTCCCTATAACCCATTCCCCCATTCCCTGCTAAGCACCAGACAGAAGACCCGAACCCGCTTTCCGGCTGATTGTCCCTTTTTTGCAGTATGCCGGCCGAGGGACAGCAGAGAGCTCCTCGAACATGCTGAAGATATTCTTCTGCAAGCCGGTCTTGATGTGCTTCCTGGGGGCGGCAGCCGTTTTCGTCCACGCTTTGGGAGAGAGATTTGGTCAGGAAGCTGAGAAAAAAGGAAGTCCACTGAAGCTGAAACTAGATCCAGAAGAGGCCCTCGCCTTGAATGCCGCTGCACACGTCGTGAAACCCTGACAACTTCAGGCAAGGCTCAGAATCGCATTCTGCTGCAGCATCTCCTCGGCAAGCAAGCAGCTGTTCGATGCTCATGAGCAGATCGGATCGCCAAGGAGACCCGCTGCTCTCCCAGAGCTATGGAGGGAGTTCAAGAGCGCTGTCATTTTACGATGTTTTACGTATTCGATGTGCCGTGTCTGATAGCAGTGCGGTCGCTGAGTCCTGCGGACTGATGTCTTGGTCTACTAATCAGCAAGAAGACATGGTGGGGTGGTTCGGTGTACGTGCTGTTCGGCAAGAGGCTGGGGTGGATAGTGCTAGAACAACAGAGAAGGAAGAAGAAGAAGAAAAAGAGAAGAAGAACAGCAGTGGTAGCTGCAATGTTGAGTATCAGGTCATTGTAGCGAGCACGGATGATGTTCATCGCTACATGCTCATGATCGTTTCTGGCAGCAGCAGCAGCAGCAGCAGCAGCAGCAGCAGCAGCAGCAGCAGCAGCAAGGACGACAACAACAAGAACAACACCCGCAAACATCACAACCATTGCACGAAGCGACATGGCTTGACAATCGGAGTCACATAATCAGATGCATCATCGTTCAGTATCAACGGTTGACAACAGTTTCATGATATCCATCTTCGGTGCCATAGTCATAGTAATTAGTCTTCATTTCCTTGTGCACTATCTTCCTCATAACCAAAACACTTGACTCAGAAATTGCATGCAAGCCAAGATGCTCTGCTGATGTTCAGCGGCATGTCATCGCTGTCAACGATGCCCTTCACAAAACCCATCCACTTGGGGATGAGGTCGTTGAACTCTTTGATGAACACCCTGCGTTGGCAGCTGGCATCGTACATTCGCTCCGTCAAGTCTCTTCGCCAAGTCTTGGTGGATGCTGGGAGCGAATCCTGAAGCCCAGCGGGCCTGCGCACGTAGAGCCGGATGCTAAACCGCTGTGACATCTTGCCCATGTCGAACATGTCCTGGCACCACTTTTTTCAGACTCAGCAAAGGTGTCATAGTGTCACTTGAGCAGGATGCGTGGGTGGGCTGCTGCAGCAGCTCCCGACACCTGCATGCTTGAAGAAACCCTTCTGAGACACCACTGCACTACCTCTGTCCCTGGCTTCAAACATGTAAGACTGTAAGGAAACAGGTCACAAAGTCGGCAGATCTCCTTCGGCGCTGTGGTCGGACAGTACAGAAGGGCTTTAAAATCCACCTTCGTGGCAATCGGTGATGTTCTGCACTTCTGCACACTGAAATTCCAAACCCATCCGCACGTCTGCACGACTGCAGCGACAGCATGCAGAAGGCCTGGCCGCTCTGCATGACATGCTTCACGGCAAGATGATCCTGCATGAAGCTCACGGGCTGCTGGGATGATCTCTAGTATGGTGCCTCTGTCTCCGGGCGTCGCGGAAGAATCTTCCACCAGAAATTGCGAGAGCAACAAGTATGCGACTCAGAACTCATGTACAGCAACTGTCGAATGCAGATACCAGCGAGGCTCCTACATTTCTGTCGTACTGAACCTTACAGCAAGCGTGAGCTGTCCTCCCAGTCGCCAGAGAGGAATTTGTATAGCTCAGCATACTCCTGCATAGAATACCAAACCGTAGAAGTCGCAAACGCAACTGGCCCCTTCTCGAAGGAAACACAGCTGGCATAGATACTCTCAAGAGGCACTGTTTTCCGAATCGTGTCGTAGGGCACATCACGGTCTCCTCGTGCGAGACTTCCGATGCTGGCCGAAGCCACAAAGGCTTGTTCTTGTTGATTAGCTCCTGAAACGCAGCTTTCAGACTCTATGCATGCTGCTGTGAGTTTTTTGCAGATTCAGGTCTGCGCATGCACGAGCGGATGTCTGCCGAACATGACTTGAGCACAACGACACAGAAGCCACTAGAGAGGAATCCTTGCACCAGCCCTCTCCACGCATCTCCACGCAGCTCATGCACCAACGAAGCAACTGAGGGCGCAACCCATGAGTAGCTTACAGTCACCTGGAGCGGCATGTCGCGAGGATGATCACAACTTCCGAAATCCATCTCATTATAACTTATAACCCCCGAACTCCATAGCGTCAGCCTCAAGCGCTGACCTGCACGCAATACATCGACATGGCTCCATCATTCTGCACTCCAAGGACTTTCAGGCTCCGAGCCATGAATCATGAGCTCATGGGTCCACAGGCTCGGGTGGGCACGGGGCCTTGCGTCGCTTCTCGGGAGCTTCGACACCCTCCTCATCTACTTCGATGTCTTCCTCCTGCAAGGGGACGCTGATGGCATTACCTTATACAGTTGTTGGTGAAGCTCAAACACACGGTGTCGCCGTTCCCGCTTCGTCCCTTGAAGCAGACCTGGCGATGCTCCATGCGCAGGTCGATGGGGAAGCCTACGAAGGCGGAGTGCTTCATGATGAGCTCCTTGACAAAGGGAAGCCCCGGCGATTGCAAAGCTTTGGCCACACAGAGACCTGCGCCTTCTTGGCTCTCATGCACTAGAATGGGAAGCACCGCACTTGGAGCTCGAGAACATGGCGGCCATCAAAGTCCAGCAAAATGAAAACCCTTAACCGTTGCAGTTTTGTGCAAACCCCTGTGCGTTACAAGCGTCAGTTTTCGCCAGGTTCTTAGACTGCTGCCTTGGGAAATCTTGGGAAGGTAGCTTGGGCAAAGCATCACCGTCCTTGAGCCGGTCGGACTCGAGGAATTCCGCCTGACGCCCACAAACCAGAACTGCCAGTGTCACCCTCCTCCTCTCAATCAGCCCGGAGATCACCTTTACGCCATCACATCGCCTTTCTTCGACGGGCCTACAAAGATCCGACATAGGTGGCAGAGTATTACGAAGAATCTTGGGAGTGTCTCACTCAGCATCTATGGATTTGAAAAGGGGGAGAGGGAGTCCTGCCTGATCCTCTTTCAAGTAGCAGATCACCTGGCAGTAGCGTGGCTCCCGGTCGCGAGTTCATTCGAGGACCCCGCTGTGCATTTGCATCCAAATTGTTCCATGTTTGCTGCCAACTTATTGGCACCTTGATATGCCTGCAGGCTATCAAGCGCCTTCTGGAACTAAAGCCTTCAAGCTATGTAGAAGCATCAAGAGGCCCTGGCTTTCGTGCCGCGCTTCAGCACGCCGTGCTCAAACTTGGTATCCTCGAGCCGACAGCCCAAACAGGAGAAGCAACATTTTGCATAGCTCTATTAGGGTAACACGGATTTCTGAATGATGGCTCAGTACCATCAATATGCAGCAATGCGGAAGAACATCTCCTCCCCCAGTTGCAACAGCTGTCCTTCCAGATCAGGAAGGTGCCTTCAGGACCAGGCTGAGGCTGAGGATTAGGGCTTCACAGGGCAAACGGGAGCTTCCGAAAATAAGGGGTACCTTATTTTGGGGTCCTAATAATAAGGATCCTACTATTTAGGGCACTATATTAGGATCCCCTATTTTCGGAAACCCCCAAATCGGCTCAGAGCCCGAAGCTCATCGTGACACAGCCCAGCCCGACCTCCGGCAGTTGACTCCCAGACATACTGCTCATCGTCGTTGCTCTTGGAGACAACCCGCACTTTCTCCGAAACGAGGTAGGAACCTCCGCGACAACGGAACAGGAGGGCAACAGCTTGACGAGTGCAGCGAAACGCATAAAGCATAAACCCTGACCGGCATGCCAAGTAATTGGTTCAGTGGCTTTAGAAGCGTCGACCGGGATCCACTTACAACCCTATCCCAAATCCACCACAAATGCACTGAGTCGGGAACTGTAGAAGCCCACACCGAACTGGCCTCAAGCATGGTAGTCACCAAGGAAAGCTTGGGCGCAGTCGTCAAGCGAGGGAGACATCTGTCACAGAACTAAAGTGCCCTGTTCGATTGGCGCGGGCACTCTGTGACCTGCTCACTGCGACATTCTAGTCATTAAGGCCCCTAAACCCGACACCCTTATAGTAGCCCTTATATAACCCTTTAAGGAACACCTTTCACTGCGACATGCTGAGCCTTTGGCCAATCATGGACATGTCAGCACCGGAGGACACTGCCTGACCGAGGGGCCAGCTGTGAGAAAGGGTTCTTCAGTTGTTCATTCGGGTCAGTTTGGAAAGGCATCCAGTAACGGAGCACTGCCCAACTAGAATCTCGGTAGCCACCCCTGCTGCCGACTAGAGTTTACTAGAGACTCCAGCAGCATCTTTCTGGCCCTCGCGGTGCCTCCATGAAGGCCTTGGTTCCGGACTTGGCGATCGTGCCAAGATGCAGGATCATCTCCTCCATCTTTCGAAGATCATCCGATGCGATTCGTGAAACAATGCCCCGGCCTCCCGCGTCATGCCAATACCTGTATCCTCAACGGTGACCGTCCCAGCCTGAATGGCCACCAAATTGCATCGCCCGTCGTCTCTTCGACATGCCATCCCAGACTCTCAGTCACGTTTGACTCTTCAAACGGTTCTCTGGGGTGGCTGGCATCAAAGAAGCACGATCGATAATTGTGAGGCGCATGGTGAAAGACGGCGAAAGCTGGTGGCAAGAAAGGCTGCAGCTGCAGTCTCCCGCGCACGATCCCTCTTGGGGATCCGGCATCCTTGTCGGGTGTCACCTGCTTTCTCTGTGCTCTTCGCTGCTGTTTTCACCGTTTCACAAGTCATGTACCCTGGGACACCACTAACAGCAAAACAAAGCTGCACAAATGCGAGGGCGCCTTAATTTCGCTAATATGATGGCTGCCTACTAACCGCCATCATGTAAGATTGCCACTTTCGGAAGCACAGCCCGATTCGAGTTGAGTCGGGTTTTTTGGACCTTGATGTACAAGTTCGGCTCCGCATCCAGCTTGGACGGGTCCTTCGAGGCCTGCGTAAAGGCTCCATCACAACGGACTTGCACAGACCCGTTTGAAAAGCTTGCAGGGCTCTTGGGAGGCTGTGGCACGTAAGGCGTGAGTTCACTTGTGGCAAGTGCCCTCATTGGTAGTCAGAAAGACTAACATCATACAACATCTCCAGCTTACGCCCCTGTCGCCACAGGCCGCCTGAAACTGGATTTTGTCCAGAGCATCAGAGGCATTCGAGATCCTGAGTTCGCAAAGATGACAAAAGAACTTCGAAAGTGCCAAAGGCTCAGCCAAAACAAGTTGGAGTAGTTCATGTCACGAATGCAATCGAACCCCCTAGTCTTCAGCGGCCCATCGTGGAAAAATCGCGCGAAACCTGAAAAAAGAGAGACCTCACAGGAGCGGCCGAGCAGCAGCTCTCGGAGAAAAATCTCTTTGTTCGTGTAGAAGGCATTGATGATCAGGGACATCAACTGGCTGATGTCCTCAAGTTTGAAGCAGATGCCGCTGGAATGAGCGCTTCTGAGGACACCCAAGAAGGTGTCTAGTGAACAGCTGAGGCCACGGCAGCATTGAAAGCCTCAGATCAATGCTGAAGGGGCCATGAGCTTGAGAAAAGTCTTCCACGAGCCACTGCGGGTCGGGGGAGTCTTCGACAGAAGCCGATGACCTTCGTGCTGCCAAGGAAGCATAGGTCTCCAGTTCTGCCGGTGCCATGGCTGCTTGCAGAGCTACAGAGCTATGTAGTCACACTTTCTTGTTCTTGAACCCCGAAGGGAACATCTGCGACCAACAGCCACGCTGCAGTGTGCCGGTGAATTATGCTAAACTTTCCTGACGCTGTAGGGCTGACATGGCTGGTGATATGGAAGGTCACTCAACAGAGCATGCCTACATCTGCTTGAAGCTCTTGCTTCACGTTTCGGCGTGAGGCAGCTTTGAGATGCGTTCAGTCTTGCTGCGACCAACAGTACTAGCTGCCGCCAATGCCGAGACTGGTCAGACGACGCTGTTGCTGCCTTTCCCAAAGGGTCTAAATACCCATATAGTAGGTATTTTGGGCCCCAAAGTACCTACCATATAAGTACTTAGACCCTTTGGGTTTCATCGATTCCTCTGCCGTGCAGAGCCTGTCTTTTCTGGTTCCGACCATGAGACAGTCAGCCCGAGTTCACGTCCTTTAGACGAGACTCCAGCCAGTCGCCACCTGGCCAGCTAAACCGCCAGGATGCTTCATGCCCCAAGCCATAAGCATCCGCAAGCCCTGCAAAACCTCAAATCTCGAGCCCTAAGATCAAAGACTTTCAGCGCGGCTCCAGCCTGGAAAAGCCTTCGAGCAATCTGCTTTGTCGCCCATAGGCTGGTGGTAGACAAAAGCCCTGGTCAGGGCGGAAAGAAAACATCAGAGCAGCCAGGAGTAATGTAGAAGAGCCAGATGGGGGATTCCGAAAATAGGGGACCCTAATATAGTACCCTAATATTAGGATCCTTATTATAAGGACCCCCAAGATAAGGGACCCTAATTTTTGGAAACTCTTAGATGGAGCTCCCGGAGAAGCCGGAATCTCCTGATGGGCTGCACCTCCGGCATTGCCGGTCACTAGCGCAGCATCACGGCGAAGATGTTGAATACTCATGAAGTTGCCGTGTGGTACTGGCTGGACTGCTTTGGGCAATGAGCTCAAAATGTGTCCGGCCACCCTATATACTATAGACCTGCTGCCTTATCCCTCCCACGCGCCTGACAGAGATATGCTCCTCCAAGAAGTGCACGAGAAATATGGTAAAGACAAGAAATTTTGCGATTCCCAACCCATATTCTGGACCGTAGCGAGGAATTCCGATTGCATTGGTGATGCGACCTACTCTGAAGGGTGCCTGGTCTTTCTGCACATCTACCAGAATCTACCAAGATGTCTGCATGTTCGACGGGCTCAGAATCAGTTAACAAGTCCTGGTCCAGCGCTTCCTTGTCAAGGCCTGGCGATGCGTCAGCAACCCTGCACTGCTTTAGGATTCCCATCCTACCAGGAACAAACTCTCCATGGCGAATTCCATCCCGGACCCCGCCTTCCAGCGCTTGCTTGAGCCACGGCTGCTCCTTCATCTTCGCTTTCAGAGCTTCTAGAGGCACCTGAAAGCATCTGGGCAAAGTCTCTAGTGTGGGAGAGTCTAGGGTTTGAGGTTCTAGGAATTGCTATACGGGTTTAGGGTCGTGTTATCTTTAATCCATGAAGCCAGTACCGCTGCAAAATCCGAAATCCGAAATCGAGCCCTGCGAAGCGGCTCCCAAACCGCAACCCTGAAACCCTAAATCCCCAACCCCTCAACCCCGAAGAAGCTGAAGCCTCAAACGAAAACGGCTGCAAATCCAAAAGATCCTTGAAAAAGGAAACACAGCGCCTGCAAAGAGCAAGCCTGAAACTTATAGCCCTAAAGCTCCAAAGTCCTGAACAGAAACAGAAATTCCAACCCAACAAATCCCAAACACCGAAACTTTGAAGACGTGGCAGCCAAGAGCGCCTGTCTTCAAGACGTGAGATTACATGGCAGCATGGTATCATAGCGAAGAAACAAAGTAACAACTTCACAGTTGACATGTCCGGGCAAACTCACAGAGTCTCACCAGCCGGTCTTCCCTTGCCCCATGCCGTGGCTTCCACGGCAGTTAAATTCCTTCGGTTGTCGAGCTGCGGGGGCATCCACGAGGGCGCGGCCTCGAAACAGGGCAGTACGTAGCTGGAAGGCTTGCGGAGGGAAGCATGGAAGTGTCTAGACAAAAGCCAGTCCAACGATCTTACTTACGCTTGATATGCAAGCAACCATCTTGGTACTTTCTGCACAACTGCATTGCAGGCATTGCATTCCATGGTCCGCCCAAGTGTGCCCCCTCTGCCTCAGGAACTCAAAGGATTCTGATTCAGGGATCTGAAGGCCAGCGGGTTGCAGCCTTCACTCCCCACCATGGTATATGGCACCTCAACTTAAAGCGCCGAAGGCCAAAGCCTTCCTACTAACCCTATGCAGTAGCCCCGACTCTCGACGATAATTCTCGGGAGCAGGCAGTACAAGCCGTCGTTCGGATGCTCGGGGTCGAAGCCCTCGATTCTGTCGCAGGTCGCGATCGCCTTCCTGCCGCGGGAGCAGGCTGTGTCAGGCAAGATGCCCAGCTCGAAACGTTGAATCTTCTCTTCAACGATATCACAACAGAAGCCAACTCGCAAAACAGCTGTGAGAGGCTGCAACATCCTCAAACCGCAGCGAATTTATCACGGCAGACATCGCCTGGCCTCGAGACGTCTCCGGCAGGCCATATGAGGATCGTTCCTGGCAGCCGTGGCAAGACCGTCACCGACCGAAACTACCCGGGTGGCAGCTTTGCAAAGTCTCTGCTGCAACGCTCGTTGACTGAAACCGTGGTTCGAAGTTCACAGCATGAACCATCTGCGTAATCTTGCCAGCAGCACCATGCAGACGGTCCTGGTAGACGCAGCGTGCACACCCAGTATTGCAGGACTCGCACAGTATGTCACAAGCCCGGAGCTTTGCATGCTGTCCTGCTCCTCATCGCTTTGCACAGCGAAAGGATAGAAAGCCCTGTCCTGCATGCAAGGGTTCAGGTGAGAGCACTGCGCAACCTGGGCACAATCTGCAGTCTGCGGCGCCTCTTGAAAGAGCTTAAAGCCAGTCACGGACGTGCGGAGCCATGCGGCACCTGGCCGGGGGTTTCACAAATAGTAGTGCGCCGTTTGTCGGCATAGCATTGCATTTCCGCGGTTTGCTGTGGCTGCTTCAACTGCCTTGTAGCCGTCGTCCTGAGACCCGGGCCTGTACTCTCGATGACGCCCCAGTTGTCCCCGGTGTCCTGGAAGTCCCCGCCTGGCTGTCACATGGCACTAGACTAGGACGTCTTGAAGACGAGAAGCTAGCACATCATGTGCTCAAAGCTATGCGGGAGAAGTGCCGGATGCAGGCTACATGCACTGAGTCCACCGCGGAGCGTGCCGTATGCAAAAACTGCATGGACCAGATCCTGGACAATACGTTCAACTGCTGGTCTGATTTCAGCTCTTTTCACAATCCAGAAGTGGACCGTTTGCACATCGGCCGTATCCAATAGCTGTTTGGCAAAGGGAGCCTAACTGAGATGGCAGGCTTTCCGTCTGAGTTCGAGCTAAAGTGCAACAAAGTTTAACTGGAGAACCGCCAATGAGAGTGAACAGGGAGAACAACCCCTCACTCCCACTCTTGCTGAGAGTCCTTCAAAACATCCCGGCCTTGGCTGACTCCGCTTTCTCCGCCTCAAGCCCAAGGTCGGGACAAAAGGTTCCGGCCCAGCTTGCTCGTGCCTGTCCTGGCCTCTTACCGGCCCCAACTGCCCTATATGCATCAACAAACCGACAAACCCTACATACTGCGAGTGCCACGAAGGCACTTGGAGGTCGAGCTTTTCAAGACTCCAGATACTTCTTGTCAAGAGTTGACTCTGACGGAGATCACACATCTATCCTTTGTGGGCAAACGATTTTTCTAGCACGCGCCTTGGGCGCAGCCGGCCTCTTTGGCACGGCAGCGACCTTCTTGGGTGAAGCGCCCCGCTTGGCCTTGATAAAGCAACAGTGACAGTGGCACTCTCTATCGGGAAGGCACGATAGACCGTACCCTGAAGCTTAAAATTCACAGAACAGAGCTGCTGAGGACCAAGGCTCCTATCCAGATATCAGGAAAAAGAACCCTCCACCCGACTAGTTCATGTTCCTGACGTCCCAGTGAGGCGAGGGGCCGCCGGTGGGCGCGCTGCCATGGGAAGGCTCTTTGCAGGGTGGCCTTACTAGCGAATTCCTCTGACAAACTTGGACTTTCAGTCAGGTACCCTGCATGAGGGCTAGAAAAAACCACTTCATTCGACTAATAGCTTGCCGTGTTTATTCTTGACAAAGACCAACTCCGTGTCAGGTTTTGGCGCATCTGGCGATCAAATGGTCTATTCTCCTTGCTGAAAGCCTGTAGGCTGCAGTGTCACCTCGCCAACCGCCATCCCCGGCATACTGTCTGCTTGCCATTATGCATGTGCTGTTCTGCTCTACGAAGATGTAGCATGTGTCTGTATAAGAACACACACACACAGACACACACACAAACACACACACACACATACACACACACACACACGCGCACGCACGCGCGCAATGCGGCTGGAATGATTTTTCGACGTGCTGCCAGCTGTCCACTTCAGGCAGGGAAGTCGTCGTCGCCGAAAACGCACTCGTCATCATCGTCATCGTTGTCCTGAAGCGTAACACAACGAGATGGCATCCGAAACTGTTCGGACAGCTGCAGCCCCAACACCCCCCAACCCCAACCAGCTCGCCAACGCAACCGAACAGTTCAGAGTCCTCTGGGAACAAGCCTTTCCGGCGCAAGTAGTTATTGGCCTGCCACACAACCGCCGAGCCGCTGCGGCTTCGAATGCTGCTGAATCTCGGAGATTCCAAGAGTAGTCGCGGAATAATGCTCTTCCGTCGCAAGAACAATCGTAATTCAGGATCATAACATCCATGTATCCATGTTGGCCCTTCCAGTTAGAAATAACCTTTCTGCGACACGGAGTAGAGAGTGAGGAAGCTGGTCGCACAATGGCTAGACCGGCTAGGCTTCATCGAATAGGCCCCCTCAAGTCCGACCAAGAAAAGATGCTGAGATATTGCACAGGTCCAGGGCACGAGCCCGAAGAGGATGTGGTGACAAGCTAAGCGTCTCTGAGCCGCGGCCGGCACCCCAAACCCGGAGCCTCCAGGATCATGGGCTCCCGGATCCTTGATCATGGCCACTGTGAGCATACGAGTCTACAGCCCCTTCAAGGCACAAAGAGGCCCCTATGGAGACAGCACGAACCGAACGAATATCCCATCACGACCTCTGCATGCCCCTGCTAATGCTTGTCTGGAGAGCACGACTCCCAACTCTTGACAGAACAGAAGTTTGCGGCGGCCATCATGGACAGCGGGCAGCGGAACTTCTGGGGCCCATGCTTCAGAGGGAAGATGCCCTGATCACGGGAACGTGGCACGAAAATGGCGCATCACCCGGCGAGAGCTTCCCCTCAGGCCCGTGAACACAGCAGAGCCTTGTCTGCATTGGTCTTAACCTCAGTCAGAGCGGGAGAGTAGTGGATAATCTTCGGATTCTTCGTGGCAGACAGTCTAAACATAGCGAACATGGCATGGAAGTTGAAGCTCCCGTGGAAGTTGCGAAAGCTCTTGAAAGCAAATCCTCGAGTGAATTCTGGTGTCTTGACATAAGGGCTGCACATCCCTCTCCCTCTCATCCCCTCGGAGCCTTCTTCAAGCAGTTCATGGTGGAGCGATGGTAAACACTCTGGGAGGGACAGAAGGTTGGGCATGACAAATGGGTTGGAACCTGCCACGCAGTGGGAACCCTTTGCACTTGACACGGTCATGCGGACGTCTAGATGACAGTTTTCTCGAGTCATCTGTAGCACGCCGGTGCTCCGAAAGTACATGATGGGTCGACATAATCGCTTGGGCACGCATAAGTCAGACGTATTGATGTCGGATCTTCACAAGGGTTCGCTTTCAAATCTCAATCGACGGTTCGCCCCAAGAGAACTAATTCAGAACAACGATGTGTGTGTGTGTGTGTGTGTACGTGTGTCTATCTTCCTCCATAGTTAAGAACTCATACTTTCCAGGTCTCATGCTTTGCCAGTGCACAGCTCCTTGCCCTTGGTGACCACCTGGCACGTAAAAGAGCATTGGAGAAACTGTCGCATTGAAACCGAGTTAGCCGGGTAGACGTGTAGATGTTCAGCAAACTGCTAACCATTCAGCACAAGCCCTTTGCAGACTGTGACAGTGCTGGGATTCCCTGTTATGCTCCGGAAAAGAAGCTCCGCATGCACATCTGCCGATAAACCCACATGGCCAAGGCCTCTCCACCTTGTGTGCCCAGCACATGCGCCAGCCACTCCTGCTTTGGAGCTTTCGCAGCAACCAACGAACAAAGCCATGTGGGCATAAAGGCTTCGATGTTTATGAACTTGACCCTACCTTAAGAGTCTGAGCAGAGACTGCAGAGATAGAGTCCAGAGCGAGAGCCTCTACAAGGGAGTGTAAAGCATTGCAAGTGTCGAACGAGGGATGACTGACTGCCGAAACAATCGCGAAAAGGTCAGAAGCTATCGACCCATCCCGGAGTCAGAATGGGCTGGTAAATTCCAGTGGCGGGACTGTCCACGGTCGTCCCTGGCTCGAAATGAATATCACGAACCAGAAAATCAACAGCATGAATCTCTGTCCTCGCAACTGAGCTCTTTGGTCTTCTCAGTGGGAACGTACCTTTAACACAGTTCCCACGTCGCAAGGTGGAAGGTTCCAGAGGCTCCGATCACGGAATTAGGATTCACAGAGGTAGTGAGGAAGCGTGCATGAAACTGCGTGTGAAGAAAACTTCGGGCCAAGCTGCAGGACTGTTCTACCGTTCTCGTCAAGTCGACATGTATGGTCCTAGAGCGCACGCAACGACGGCCAGGTGCTCCAGCCCGACGGAGAACACCATCTGCCAGGAGTGACGACCCCAATGCTCTAGTCAGGACAGTTCCCACTGGTCGCCTTGCCGATATGTCCAGATCCGCCTTTCCGCTCCTCTGCGCGGCAGTGCTCGGAAAAATATTACTATTACTACTATTATTACTATTATTACTATTATTACTATTATTACTATTATTACTATTATTACTATTATTACTATTATTACTATTATTACTATTATTCCTGTTATATTATTACTGTTATTACTATTATTACTATTATTACTACTATTACTATTATTACTATTATTACTATTATTTTTACTACTGTTATTATTACTATTATTACCATTATTACTATTATTACTATTATTACTATTATTACTATTATTTTTACTACTGTTATTATTACTATTATTACCATTATTACTAATATCATTGCCCTTCCAGACGTTGCAAACTCACAGCACGCCATGCGAGCCGCACATCAAGGCCATTGGCAACAAATGGCTTGAAGCGAAGGAAGCCCCGAAGCCTAGACCACTCTTACATACAAGACCTAAAGCAGGTTTGCAGCACCATCAATAGCCAACAAGAGCAGCGAGTAGATAATCATGACGACCGAATGAAGACTGAATGAAGATTCGTTGCGGCAATTAAAGAAGTCATTGAAGAAGAATACGAACGATGATAACAAGACTGGTCAGTGGTTGCAGCAACATACATGAAACCAGAGAACTCCAGCAGTCAGCCCAAAGTCCTCCTCGCTTGGATCGCTCTTGGCATTCATGGCTTCCACGCATTTCATGGTCAGATCGAGGTCGCCCTTTCTTGATGGAGGCGCTTTTTCGGACACGGAGAGCTTATAAGGGATTCGGAAGGGCGGCCGTTTCGGCTGACTGGGTGTTGTTGATAGCGGTCACGCCGCAAATGGGATAATATCGTCGGCCCTTCGGGATGTCCACGAAACCCTACATGCGACCCTCGACCTCCAGCCGAAGTCCTTAAACCCTGAACCCCTGTACCGTCCCGGAGCTTCACCCGAGAAGCCCTGAACCCCAAACCACTCGGTTCGGTCTCTAGGCTCGTGTTGCAGCCGTTTTCGTCAACAAGCCTTCGTCAGGACAGGCTTCCTCCTGATCATCGGCATGTTACTGGGTTTCGGGGTTTAGGGTCTCGGTAGTAAGTAGTCGTGGTACATACAGCATCGCTACATAACAGTGGCCGCTTGCCATGTTGGCCAGAGAGAGATGCCCGAAAGACAAGGCGATCGTCGACGAATATGATCACATGCAAACCACCAACATACATCAATCATGCCTTCAGTGCCGGACCCGAAGTAGATTCAAGAAGACCCTGGCAAAGTGTACTGTAGTACTGATGCTCATCAGGGCTGCTAAGTGTAAAACGCGAGACCGGACGCCCCCATCTTCGCTCTTAGCTCTGAACCCCACGGAGTCGGAGTTTGGGATTCGCAGGCTCCCCCATGGCCATGACGAGCCTCGGGCTGCTCCACGGAAGTGCAGAAGAACTGGAGGCCGCCCATGTCTGCAGCTCCTGCGTCTCGGAAGGGCAGGATCCGGTGTGAGAGGGCAAGGAATCTGACCACTCCTTCGATTTCCACACCACGCTTGCCGCCTTCCTTGATGACCTAAAATGGGCTGTGACAGAAGAAATGGCTTCTTCATCTAATATGCTGCAATGCTCGGGAGTGCTCCAAGCAGCTTCGCAAGGCAGCTGCAGGCCTTCTTGAGCTTGTCTTTCTTAAGTTTCTCGAGCTCCTCCGGTGTCAGCTCCTTCTCCTTCTCCTCTTCCTTCTCCTCCAGGCGAGGACAAGGGGTATTTTCTGACCTCAATCAAGCCCGCAGACCTAGAAAGGCACTGATAAGATGAAGACAGCCCAACATAGCATGCAAGGCTTATCTCGTTGCAAGGTCCTCCGCTGAAAACAGATGCTACTACAACAGATGCTTCCTCTGCAAGACCGACAGCAGCAACGCAAGCCATTGCAACTTGAGAGGAGAGCCATGACCTGAAGCCTTTCGGTGGCAGTTTGGGGTTTAGGGTTTAGGGTTTAGGGTTTAGGGTTTAGGGTTTAGGGTTTAGGGTTTAGGGTTTAGGGGGCAGTTTGGGCACCCTGAACCCGAAGGGCAGTGGCCTTGCTTCCATCCTTCTCCTGTGCGAAACGAAGCTTGCTGCCGCAGTCGGAGCCGCTGTTCAAGACTAGCATGCTTCAGAAACACAGACAGAAGAAGCAGCTCCAGATGCTCCAATCTCGCAAACTCAAAGTCTACAGCTGTCCGTCTTACGAAGGCTTAAACGCGCATCGCCAGTCTTAGCATCATTCCAGCAACAGCCATATACCCTCTGATCTCCGAGTCTCTGCAGCTCGATATCAGCGGCATGTGCCTTTTTCTTGTCGTCCTTCTTGCCGGACTCCTTCTTCGGAGCCGCCTCTTTCTTGGGTGCAGCCTCCTTCTCCTTTTTGGGTGCTGCGTCCTCGCCGATCAGCACATAGGCAAAAACAAAGATAGGTGGATCAACACACGAAGTTAAGAGTGACACCGAAATGCATACGTACATGCCTGTGTAAGCATGCATATGCATGCACGCATGCATGCATGTATGTGCCTATGCACGCATATACAGAAGCACAGGGGACAGCTAGAAGCCAGACGAGTCGCCAGACTGTCGAAACTTCGATTATGCCGCATCGAAGGAGTCGCACCTCCCGCCTCGTGCATGCTCCTCGAACAGAAAAATTCAGAATAAGGCTGTAAGGACGTGGCGGTGAGGCTTTGCGAGGGGGCTGTGGGCGTCCACGACTTTTTGGCAGGGTGGGTGCGGAGAGGGCCGCATGAGAAGGCAGAGGTCTTGTGTTGGAAAAATTGGGCGGGGAGGTCATAAAGGCTGTGTTGAAGTTTGGATCATTGCTGCAGTGGAGTGGGGGAATCTCAGCCAGGCCCGAAGGAAAACGTCCTTCTTGGCGGCAGCTTCCTTCTTCGGGGCGGCCTCCTTCTTGGGGGCTGCCTCCTTCTTCGCATCCTTCTTGGACGCTTCCTGTTTTCGGGTCTCACGTTTGAAGCTCTCGTCGCGTGGCATGGAGACGGATCGCCACAGGGATCTAGCATTTGCAGCTCGGAGCCTTCTGATTCTGAGGCGGGCTGCCAGCGCTGCCCAAAACAGCCTGGAACTCTGGCTGGCTGGTGCCTCCGAGGCCATAAGGCTTCCGCACATGCCCCCGATCCAGACGGCTATGTGAAAGTTTCGATTACGTGACCTGAATTTCAAAGCTGGCCCACTCCTTCAAGCAAGCGAAACTTTCCGCAGAAAGTTTAGGGTTTAGGGTTGTTGTTTTTTTTACGGGCCCTTTTCCAACTGCAGAACAGCTAGAAGAGGGGTTTAGGGCTTAGGGTTTGAAAGGACCCAAAGAGGATGTGCGCATCCTAAAACCCTCTCGGGATCGGACATAGGCCGTACCACCGCATCAAGTTCTGGCAAGAGCGAGGCTCGAGTGACGTTTGAAAAACCTACATCAGCGTTACCTGGGCGCTGCTTTTATACCCTGTCATGTTTCGGGGGACCCATCCCAAGCTGCTTCCGACACACATGATGCGAGCTGCCGTCTGACCACTGCCTTGCTGCTCACCTAACTTTACTATGACACTGCGCAACTTCGCAGCGCGTTGCTGCCAGAGTCTTCGTCGCGGCGAATTCCGATCGGGCGCCCACAAACACATCGCAATAGATCGAGGAATCTAGAAACTAGCCCCACCCGCCCACATACCCACCCTTTTTGCACCGAACTCGATGCAAGCATGTCAGGATGGCTGGATACTGCTGCTTGAACTTGTCGTCGAAGGCCTTTCATCCCGGTACTGTACTAGCTACTGGTGGCAGCACTCGGTGCAGCGTGGATTTGGGCTGAGAGAATCTACAAGGGACGTGGCATGTTGATGGAGCGTCCCCAAGGCCGTCTAGTCCGCGGAGTAGGATCCTTTCGACAGTTATCCTTCAACAGCGAAAGGTGTTCTTGAACACTCAACCGAAGTACAGTGTTGAATCGCGTTGAAGGATCGCGTGGCCTTGGATATCTAAAGTGTGCAGAGGGCCTTGAGTACTTTGGGTCCTCTGACCCGGTACTTTCTGCCTGATGCCGAAGTCAGTCTGCCAAAACGGGCAGTTTCCACTGAGGCACTCACTAGCTTCATAGCATCGAGCAGGGCGCAGCTTACCTTGGCCATGCACTTGGACTTTAATCACAACCATCTGGTAGGAACAAGAACAGGACCCACCCCATGCACCTTGCAGTGCTCCTTGGTTTCACAGCCACAGCAATTGCTTATTGCCATAATTACTGCCTTTACAGCATCTCAGGCTTAAGGGGAGCGATCAGCTTGCAGGAGAGACAAAGCCTGAAAAGATCGATGCACCGTGAAGTCACTCACATACCTGCGGTAACCCATGGCCCACAACAATGCGAACACTCGGACAACCAAAACACCTCAAAGCTGAAAACAACAAGCAATGACCAAGCAAGACTCTGTAGGGCGGCTGCGGAAATGTCGGCCAAGGTGATAGTGTTCCCCACCTGCTTCATGCGAGTGTACTGTACAGCGTACGCGTCAGACTAGAAGATCCTTCTATAGCAACGACTCCTCGGTGTGGACAGATACTCGATACTCGAGATTCCGCTTTTCTGCCATGGACACTCGCATTTGCCATGCCCGGCATCGGCTGCCCCGACGCAACCACATGAAAAGATGCAGGAAGCCGAGGGTTATGCGACAACCAAGGCCAAGTCAAAGCTAGCTCGGCTGGGTGCAGCAATGCGACAGCAGCCGTCTACAACGGCTTGAGAGCGAATCTGTGGGTGCTAGGAGCATCGCATATCAGTTGACTGCCGATCGCTGATCGCTGCTGTCATCTTGCAACTCTGATGGTGTGTGCTTTAAACAACGTAGCTCTGTGTGGCTCCTGTGGGACTTCTCTGGTTCATGCAGACCTGCCCGCTTACCGAATCCGTCCAGCCTGAAGGCATCAGTAGGAATGAGACAAGAGTTGTTCATGTGTGTCAAACCTTAGCAAGTCCCAAACTGACTCCGTCATATCTTCCGTGGCATTCGTGGAATGAAGCAGGCTGTCCGATTACACATCCCACGCATCAGCACCGAATCAGAACGATGCAAGTGCCTGAGACTGGCTGTTGCCGAAATGACCGGGGCATTCATGCCTACCTCGAAATCGAAAGTGCTTTGCTTTTGAAGTTTCCTTGCCCTGAGCTCGTGCCGGCGGCAACAGCCAAGTTCTGCCGCTTCTTTTTGGCGTGCCCCCCAAGCCACAACCCTTGCGGAGCTTTCCGCAGCAGCACTAGGCGACTGGGCCTAGAACAAATCTCGCAACATCAGACTTTAATTCTACGAATCTGTTGCAGTGAGATCGTGACTCAGCCAAGAGTAAACAAAGCACTGAAGGATCATACATCAGGGTTGAGGTCTTCAGGAGGCACAGGCAGCAAAAAGACAAAAGACAAATTGCCACGTCGACTTCGACTTCGACGTGAGGCCCGGAGACCTGTCAGAATCACTCGCACGTCATCTCAAAAGCGAAACCGCCGCGACCCCAACACGAAATGTGTCATCTTCTTTGGGAATAAACGGAACCACAGAAGCTCGTGCCTACATGCAACAACTAGTGTGGATGTGTGGGGTGCGGCAGTCTCTGGCCGGGGCGCGCGCAGAAGGCAGCGATATCTTGCACCGTTGCGCCATGACCGTGACTTCATATGCTAGAGAAATGGATCTTGGCAGCAGTCAGAAGCACCCAAGCTTGCCCTCTACCGCAGCGCAACTCGGCTAGCAAAGAGTTTCAACGTTCCAGCGTCCTTGGGACTTTACCATGCAGTTGCACCGGGTGTGAGCATCCCCCCTGAAGCCCCTTAGGCTGGCTTCAGCCGGTTAGGTCCCCACCCACAGGCGCTCACATGCCCCCCGACCTTCACAAAGCTGAGCAGCAGACTGCGGGTCTGTCTAGGACAAGGCCGTGGGTTGCAGCAGGACAGGGTCCATGATTCGAGTATTCTGCAGACGCTGAGAAGGTCGTGGCTTTCACCCAAGCATACTGGGACAAGACAAGATCTCATGAGCCTTGCTCCAAATGTGACATCGAAATGAGCATGAGATGGAAAAATCGCAGTTGTACATTCTGCCCAGAAGTCCATGCCGGAGGTGCATGCTTGATGTCCAACACAAGGTTAGAAGAGAAAGCGACCGGAGGCTTGACTTCCGAGACTCTACTGATCGGGCTCTTTGCCCACACTTGCTGCACATCGCAAGTGACACCCAAAGGTCGTGGTCGCGATGCCGTCGCTGAGCTGGTCGCCGAGCGGCTTCTGCATGCTTGTCCAAAGCCGAAGGTGCCCGCAGCTGCGACCGGCCGGTTAAAAGCTACAAAAAGTTTCATGAGCCCCTGCCGTGAGGTTCCAAAAACTTTTCGGCAAAGGCCCACCCGCCCGGCCCTCGGCCGAGAGGCAGGGCGGTACACAAGAGGGTTGGCGACTGCCCCCTTCTGCCCAGCTGCTACGTAGCACCTGAATCTCAACCTTAAGACAAGGAAAGCCAGCAGGGATCGGCCAGCCCTCGGTGCGTCTCTCATCCACCAGCTTGCCTGTCGTGGGCCGAGATCATTGGCATCACCTGGAAATCCCGGAATCAGCTCTTTGAGGTCGGATGCTTTTGGCAAGTTCAGCTTCAGATCATCACGACAGCCAATGTCTTCTTGTTCCATCAGCAAATCTTGTCTGACGATCATGCTCTCTGTCACTCTTCTGGCTGTGTCTATGTAGACTAAGAGTATGTCAGCAGCAGGGCGGGCAATGCGGGGCAGCAGCAGCAGCAGCAGCAG